CTCTCTTGCCAATCAAAGCCTCCAGCCTTTCGCATGATACAAGATCTCCGCCGGAGCTCCATACTCCTATCAGCAAAGGCGATTTTCCATGTCCAGTTTGACAGTTTGGCATGCCGAAACAATTCGAAACCCCTTTGTTCCATGAGTTTTCCGTACTTTTTGTCCTCCCCCAGTTTCTTCAACAGCTGAAGCATTCGTTTGACAGCGCGTGGGACGGCAGAGGGGATTATGCATGGCTGTGTGGATGGATGGATGGGCTTCATCTCGAGTACTTTGCCAGGATCCGCATTGAAACAGCACGTGGTTGTTGAATAGAGGGCAAGGGGGAAGAATACCACCTCAGCCAGACCACACCCAGGGCCTCATGAAAGCTCGGCGGAATATTTTCATCGGACGAGAAACAAAATCTTGGTCTGATGCTGGCCTTGGGGATCTTCGATGCATTGTGCAAAGGTCTGTAGATCTGAGAGGATTCCGTCTGATGAAAAGTCATGATTACTCGCCCTGACTTTTTATGTTTCCGTACACTTGACGTGTTGAAAGCAAAAAACTGACGATGCACATGATCTATAGTTGAACGCTATGACTTGAGAAATGATTTCTTTCCCGTTTGCTATCGGCGATTTTGTAATGACAGCCGAGAGCTATAGCCAACCTTGGAACAGAGCGACGAGAACGTGCGCCCAACGGTCTTCGCCTTAGGAGGAATAAACCACCTGCGCCATGGGCATATCGTAAAAGCGTTTGGAACACTTTCTTTACAAGCCATCACAAACCGCATACACTACTGTAAGGTCCAGGCAATTAAACTAGTACACCACGGATCCCTTATCCTCTGCCCCTGTGCCTGGGGGCCAAGTGGATGTCAGAGACACACGAGGTAGTATTCGCACCGGGATTGACCAATGAACAGGAAGCCCAGGCCTGCCTAATACAAGCCACCCACTGACGAGAAGGCAGTAAATGCGCTGAAAAAAGCCCACCCATCCTCAGAGACTGCATGCACTTCGTCCATCCGAACCCTCAGAATCCCAGCACGCGCAGATCACCCGGGTTTCAGTACACCTTGGAATCGTGGTAGGCTGGGTTGTATGGTAGTACTATAGTAGTGTGGGTGTATTAGATCCAGGCACCCAAGAGAGCAAAAAACCAGCCCCCGAAACAGCATCGGTCCGTGCCTCCAATCCGGGAAGAGACGAAACGCGAGGGGATCCGTGAACATGGATGAGGGCCCACGGACCTGTCTAGTGTAATAACCTTAGTACAGAACAAGCTTCTCATCAATTGATTGTCTCCTCTCCCAGCTGGATTCTTTAATGACATGGCAACTAAACAGTACGTAGGTAGTAGAACCCGTAAACCCGTAAAACCCGTATTCATCCCGCGCCACCAACGATGGATGGATCATTGGATTAATTCAAGGTCACCCTCGTCCTTTTTTTACATACAGCAACTGGGATTCAATTATTTCTCAAAAGCCCCCCCGTTTGAGGTCTCGCAAGATCTTTCGATTTTCCTGCCAAGACTGCAAGCGTGGGAATGGGGCACCCCTCCTTGTGGGCTGTAGCACCCTAGTTCCACTACCGTATAGTTGACACGCCTGGCCAGGGATGGGGAAGGGGGGAGGGGACCACCGTTGAAAGCCGGGTCCTAGGTATTGTGTAGCTTGGCTTGGGAGAAGCTTGTCCATGTTTAAGGTTATTGGAAGCTAGGTATGTAGCTAGTCTCTCGATGGATTTCCCAACGCATGTATGTAATAATATGTAGAACATCCCGTCTTTCTTCCTTTGATAGAAGAACAGCCCATCGCCGTCATATTGTCGTTCGAGCATCGTTCGTCGTTGCGTTCACTCACTCACCACCAATTGTCGTCGGCTTCCCTCTTCGGCAATAGAATTACTCCTCTACCAGGCCAGTCTGTATATCACCCGGATCTTATATACACACACACACACACCATGCTCAAGGCAAAGCTCGCGTGCAAGAGAGCTTCGGCCCTCGCCGTCAAAACGTAAGTTTCCTTTGCTAGCACTTGAATCCCAAATCGGTCGATCAGTCAAACCATACGATTTGAACATCATCAATCGTAGATCAACACTCTTTCAGTAATACACCAGGAAAGCCAAAAACATGGAAAGCTAACAACGTGACAGTACCCGCAAGTCGGAAGACTCGGAAAATGTCCGCGTCTTTGTGGGAGAGGAGAGCCGCGAGTTCAACTTTTCCAAAAAGGAGCTGGCCTCGACGTCGCCGTACTTTGCCACACGTCTCGACGCCTCGGGGCTCAACTACCTGCAGCGCGACGCACAACTGAGCACGCTCTGGCTCGAGGACCTGTGTCCGGACATGTTTGAGCTTTTTGCGTACTGGGCAGACCAGCGGCACCGAAGCAGCAGTCATACCGGAGAAGGATCCTCCTCCTTCTTTGCCGGCTTTGAGCTCTTTATTGACGAGGCCCAGCTCCAAGACTGCTGCGAGGAGCTGCACTGGGACTTGGTCAACCTGCACCTCTTTGCCGCCCGCCTGGGCATCGATGCCCTCCAGGACGCCGCCATGGACGCCATCCAAGACATGTACCTATGTTGCGACTGGGACATAACACCGCAGCTCGTCAGCCGGGCATACAACCTCGATCACGAGCAAGACCAAGACCAAGACAACGACCAAGAAGAAGAAGAAGAAGAACAAGACGACGAGGCCGCCATGTACAGCTACCGCCTGCGCAAGTGGATCGTGGCCATGGTGGCCTGGACGCTCAACGGCTCGGGCGGGTGCGCCACGGACGCCGAGCAGGAGCGGGTGCGGTCCCTCTTTGCGCGGGCCCCGGCCCTGCGGCAGGACTACGACGCGCACATGGACAAGTCGTCGCGCAGCCGCGTGCGCCTGCAGTTCAAGAACCCGCAGCTCCGCCTCCCGAGCAACAGCCTGCGCAACGACGAGCGCCAGTTCGGCTTCCGCCAGTGCTCCTTTCACACGCACCGCTCCTCGGTCGGCCAGGGCCGCTGCCCGCACTCGCTCGCCGCCAGGAAGGAGGCTGCTGCTGCTGCCCACCGCCGGGTTCCCTCCTTGTCCTTTCTCGACTCGGATGTGGAGGAAGAGGAGCTTGAGTCTGATGCGGAACTGGCATCGTCTCCTTTGAACAACCGCCGCAGTATCGTCGGTCATCTCGAGCTCCCTCTCGGCAGCATCACGGACAAGGAACTCGTGGCCTCGCCAAGGACCATGATTTTTGACTTGTACCTGGACATTGACTAAGTCCTCCGACACATATATTTCATTTGATTCTTTTAAAAAAACACCACAGCTTTATATACCATGACGAGAAATGGGGCAAACCCTATCGTTGTCCAGACAACTTACTCCTTTCCTTGTATCTTTTTTTCTTTTCATTCCTGTTATATCATATACAATATTTCTCTGCATTAAACGGCATCATTCAAAGGAAAGGATAGGGTCCGGCGTTCTATTGCAATGTTACAATATACCCATGGGGTGCTACAAGGCGTTAAATATCAAGACCAAATTGAATTAAATTGAGACATCCAAAGTGTGTATTTTCAAGACTGTGAAGAAAAGGAAAAAACCAGTCCTTTTCCTATGCTCATCGTAAGTCCGAGGTCTGCGGTTTTCATGCCTCCTGCAGAATGTCGCACCAAGCCACACACATGGCCTGTTTTCAGAAGAAAGAGGATATCGCGGCAATATAAACTGAAACGAGCCAATTCGACCATTCATGTAACAAGGTATATTACTAGATAAAAAAATTCATGGGCATTACATGTTCAAGTCACAGTCAAACAAGACAAGATGGAATCTGGCACTCATGGTTTCTCGTCAATTATCTATGTAATGACCATCTATTTCACCAATCGCTTCATATGCTATCGCGTGCCTGTATGTATCATAAAATCGTTGATAAACAACTTTTCTTGGTCAAAAACCAATTAAACGCCGATTTATCCTAGCCATATTCTGGCATGCTGGTACGTTGTTTGAGATCGTGATTTGGTGCCCAGAACATAATCATCATTTACCATTCGTCGTCGTCATATCGTATCCGTATTCTCATACATCCCGTGAATCAAGGAAAATATGAATGAGTTATGCAAATATGCAAATGAAGGAAAATTAATAAGGTTATAGCCTTCCAGTCCAAGGATGCTTAATGCAATGGCTGAAAAAGGTGGTTGTTGTTATTGCAATTGTTGTTAAAAAAAAAAAAGTGAAGTCTTGAGCAAATAAAATTTCTCGGTTTGTAAAGCTGTGGCATTCGAGTGGCTCAGATGGACGGCGACTGAGACTTTTGGCGACTAGTTCTGTTTCTCAGGTCCTTGAGTCGTTGATCCAGGTAAGCCAAGCGTGATGATAGACCTGCCCGAGTTGGCGACGTCTCAGGGCTGGGCTCTCTGGTCTGATGCACAGTTGCAAATGGCTTTCGGAGAGCACCGAGGTTGAAATGAATGGGTTGTGTAAATCTGTTGGGAAAAGAGTGACTCGCGTGAGGGAATGAAAATGGAGAGCCCAGACGGGCGGGTATTGATGCTGGCACTGCGGGCTCGTGCAAGCTGCTTGTGGTGGATGGGGGGAAAATCCCAGTGGTCGATGTTCGAGGAACGAAGAGTTTGTCATTCTCGCGAGAATCTGTCGAGCTGAACTGAGTGCCTGCAGAGGTATTCGGAGATGAATCTGTCGTCTTTGCTGGCGGATCCCACACGACTGAGGCCAGACTTGGACGGCGCTTACGAGGCTTGCCCGAGTTCTTATTCGATCTTCGTTTTTGCGTGCCAGATCTGGTCAGGCGGGCAGGCGACTTGAGGAAATTTGGTGGTCCAACAGTCAGGGATTGGCGACGCGGCTCAATGCCCTCGGTGAGTGTCGACGACGAGCTGGGGCCGTAGCTTTTAGCAAACGGAGAGCCTAGTCGCATGCGGCTCGCCTGTGAGCTGCTGTCCACGAAAGGATCGCTTTCCACCTGGTCGGCGGTCTTCAGACCATGCGTCCGGGGCAATGATGGTTGAGATGTATTCTGCGACTCGCGAACAGACCTCGTCAAGCGCGCCATTGGACCTTCTGGATGCATGGTTTCCGAGGTGCTCAATGCCAAGGACATGCCCATCTCTTGGGCGGAGAACACCGAAGGAGATCGTAGTGGCGTCGATCTCCGGTTCCATCGCCTGTGGGCTGCCTTAGTAAATGGGGCAGGGCTTTGTGCCGTGTTCGAGGCAGCAGGGGCCGCTCGCAGTTTGCACAGCTCGCGCAGGTGGGCGCGGGTAGCTGCGCACGTATGAGGCCACTCGATATAAGGCCTAGCAGACTCGGCTGTCGGAGTACTGCTGCCACTTTTATTGCTATCAAGCATTTGCTTGGAACCTTTCCAGCTGCGCTTTGCTTCGCGAGCTACGCGGGCGCAGACGCCATTTGGCGGAATGCAGCTCTTGCCCATGTTGACGGGCGTCACTGTGGAGTCTGACAGGTACAACATGTACGTCGACCACAGGTGCGAGCTCATTGCCCGGGTCCACGGAGCTTTTCTAGGTGCCCTGCTGGAGCTCAGGCCGTTATTGTCATTGCCATGCCAGTCAGCAAAGTTAAAATAGCCTTTATCGACATCGGGGCTAATACAATCGCCATCTTCTGAAGGTTGTGAAAAGTGGCTGAATAGCGACGAGCTTGTTTGCGTTGAAAAGGCCGTGGAAGGTCTGCTAGACTCATACTCGGGACTGGATTCAAGATCCGAATCGCTCCATGATGAGTCGATTGACCAATTGGGGAATTTGGCTGACGCTTTATACGATGGAGCAAGGTCCACAGTGGGCGTTTGGGGCCTTGATACTGACGATACTCCGATGCGCGTGCTAATAGGACAGGGATCCCTCAAGCTGTTGTCGTCGTTGTCGCCATGTTGCAAATGTATCGCGGGCAGATAATCGACCATGTGTTCATCAGGAGTCGCAAATGCGGTTGCAGAATCCGACGTCTCTATACTAGGAAGGGGTGTGTCGGCGGTCACGGCGGTCACGGCGGTCGCATCCGTGACAAACTCGTGGTGACTCGCAGCGCGCAATTGGGACGAAGCGTTGCGCTTCCTTAGTCTGAGGCGCGGCCTTGGGTAGGATAGAAGTTCTTCGTCTCCGCCGGCGTTGGCAGGTTCCGGAGTTCTGGGCATTTTGGATTCATCGCGGAAAGTTCCGGGAAGGGTCGTCGCCCGCAATCGAAATGAAGACATCTTTGTCGCAAAAGTCGTCGCAGTAGTAGCTGGTGTGGGCTGGGGGTGATGGGAGAAAGAGGAAGAAAGTCGCGCGCGCGGGCGCGTTGTGTCCTGCGACTGTGTGTTGTTGTCGCTTGACGATGCCGACCGTCAACAACACCAACGGTCGACGAGATTTGATGGCAGGTGCAGCGCTATAAGCGCAAGCTCCTGTCACAACGGGTAGGGCGAATCAATCGGCGTCGTGGTGGTCGTGCGCAAAACAATCATGGATGGCGATGACAGAAGTTACTCAAAGCACAACGTGCACAAAAAGGTACCGATGATCGAGGGATCGTAGCGGGGAGACCCCCGGATTTAGGGCCCTGAATGTCTGGGAGGAATTCGGGTGGCTGGTCCAGGGCTGATACTTTTTGTAACGGGGACGAAGATTCTTGGCGGGCGTCCGGGAGCAATAGTAGTAGAGTGTGGACGTGCACACACAGCCAACTTTCTCAACTGCCTGTTACAGTAGTATGCTGTGTCTTATTCTTTTTCTTATTTTTTTTTTCTGTCACAGTATCTTTGCAATTAGATACTGAGAAGCTGGCGGGGCAAACAAAAGAGAAAGATTTTGACGAGGAAAATCTCAAACAAATCAAAAGAGTAAAAAAAAAAATAGTCATAAAAGGTCGTAATTCTTGAGTCGTTGGTTGAGGGCAATAAAGAAATCGGGAAGGTAGTCGGGTATTGAGGGGACGGGCGGACTGCATTAATGCAGGTTTGGGTGGCTAGAGCATATAGCACATACTAATTAGGTACTGTAGGTTCCCGCTGTACGGTATGCAGTAGTAAGATGCCGCCGTTCTAGTACCTTTCAGTATGATGATGCAGTTTGTTGTTGCTGCTGCTCGCTATATGCCCGCCACCGCCGCCAAACATTACCAAGGCCGGATGGGGATTGGGAATGAACGACTAGGTAGAGTCTGGATATGTTGCGAATGTAGAATAAAAGATGGAAAAGACGGAGGCGGGGGAGCAGGGCGAGAGAGAGATAGATAATGTAGGACCTAGGGTAGGTAGACAGGCCAGCAGACGGGGAGACAAGAGGGACTAAAAGTGGGTAATAGTGTAGCGCGGTGGAGTTGGTTGTTCACGGGCATGTGGCCAGGGTACGAGCAGAACGCGCGCGAGATAGAGAGAGAGAGGTCGAGAGAGATCCAGAAGACCTCTGTCCTGTTTGGTCTGTCTAGTTCCAGCCCAAAGCTTTTACTGTACCGTACCAAACAGAAGCCAAGTGGCGTGCTATGCTTGGGGGATTACATGCGCATCTATAGGCAAAGATTGTGTTTGGCTGCTTCGATACCCAAGCTTGCAATGGCAGGTAAACGTAGTAGGCAAGCAATATATGATGGTATACATATTGTAGGTAGGTACATACCTACTAGTACATGTATCAAGTCAAGCACTGGACCGTAATGCCCGATACTGGAGACTGAATATGTAATTGGCGTATCGTGAGTTTGGCTCCACTGCAGAGACGAGCCATCAATTGGATTGCCCGAATGTACGAGGTCCCGTCTCTTGGTAGACGAAGGAAGCGTGGGAGGGCATTGGGGGTTGGTGGTGTTTTGGATTGGGCTTGGGCTGGCGCAGGATCCTTCCAAACGACAGACAGCGGCGGCTGTGAACTGAGAGATAGATACTCGACTGCATGTAGGTAGTAGATACTACCGTACGTGCTACACTAGTAAAAATAAAAGCATGATCTAGGTATGCAACCGGCTTCGCGATGACAGGAGCAGTGGGGACGAGAACGTTGAGATTCATGGGTGCCTGTCCTAGCAGGCCGCACTCTAGTGTGACATGGCTGGCTTGCAAGCTCTGCGACGACTATCGCATGCGCTCATGCACGACGGCTGCAGCTTGTGGCCAACAACGACGAACACAGCAGAGCGCATATGCATTGATCGGCGGGCATAGTTTGGGGGAACCGAGCAGCGAACCAGAAAATGGCTGTACTTACGCGTCTGAAGAAGAACGCGGGAATTCACTGGCCGGAAAACACCACCCCCAGAGTGGACGCGGGCAGAACGAAATGGAATGGCTACGGTTGTTCAGCTAGTTTTCTTGTTGCCCGCTTCAAATCCCGCGAGTTTGGAGTACTCTGCGGCACAGCGCGCTCCCAGCGTGAAACTACGAACGCGCGTGTTGTGAAAATACGTTCAGAAAGTATGGGATAGGTGGAGTCATGGACGGCAATGTGCGAAAGCAAAAATCCAAAGCAACTGACTGGCGTCAAGCCTCTAAAGTAGTAGTTCTGGACCTAACAATTTGCGGTGAACGGGATTGACTGGAGCAAATCTAGTCGCTCAGGGTACGTATATAGTAGCAAGTGCGAGGTGACGGGCAGCACTTGAGTGTTTAGTCAAATGTGACGATGTGACAATGTGACCCTGACGCGACCCTTTCCGCAGCGTGCTTGGCTGGCTAGCCATGGCAATTGCCGTGCCTGAACCCTGAAAAGGCCCAGGAAAGACCTGGCAAACAAGACCGCCTTCAAGCCGTCAGTTGCTCGGCTGACAAAACGAGCTTGACGAGAGGCTGAAGGTTACGAGAAATGGGATCTCTTTGCCGCCGTCAAAGGTCTTCGGGTCGATGCGTCAGGCCGCGCTCGAACCTAGCGGCAACAAGGCCCCAACAGCCCCTCCCAAATGAACTGAACCTGACCCATCATACTGGACAGAGGTATGGAAGCGTCCCAGCACCAGCATAGTCGAGGTCGAAGTCGTCTATCGTGCTACGTAAATCGTACTACGTACTCTGTACTGCCAGCCTCATTTCTCTATTTTGCCTACCTTGGGTCTACCAAATCCAGGCGAGAAGAGAAATGTAACGTGGGACTTGTGTGTGTGTGCGTGCAAATCGAGTAAGGGCATATCATAACCATAGATGGGTAAGAGAAGAGAAGAAAAAAACCACGAACGGCAAGACTCATGTTGTGACAAAGGTGGTTGTGATTGGAGGGAGACGCGAAAAGAACGCGGACGAGACGCGTAAAGTGTTTTTGCTCCACCATGTGACAGCCAATCATGTCGGGCATTCGCTGATCACAGCTCTGGTCACGTATCCACCTCTTCACCTCGTCAAAACTTGGCCATACCCTGATCGTACAACCTGTCAAGGGTGAGTACAGAGAATCATCAATCTTCAGTCTAACCCTTCCCTAGTCTTGTGCTGATGATCCATCGCCTGGTCAAAAAGTGTGGGCAGACTCATCAAGCTGGTGTCTTCAAATTGCCCAAGAACATACAATACATCCAAGGTGGCAAGCAATATATCTTTCCGTGGGCCTTTTGTGTTCTCTTATCCACATGAGACTCCACCCGTCTATAGGGCGAGTATACGATGAATCATGTACGCGCTCTCAGCAACACTGAGGCCTTGGCTCACCGTTTTTCTCAATCCTGGCAACCTCGGTCTCAGAGACCTTGCAGCCGCCCTGGCGATGTGTAGAAAGGCCGCCGGCGCCCCTTGCAATCTCAACCATGCCTGTCAGGCACACCTGACGATCTAGTATGACCTCGCATCTAAGCTACGAGAACTTCATCCCATAAAAGGGAATAGACCATCGATGGGTGGTTATAGTCCCTCGATCCTTTGAACCAAGGCACATCCCAACCCGTGTTAGTTTCATTGTCAGCAAGAGGGTAGCCCAACCACTTACAGGCCGCTGGCTGGCATTCCAGCCGATACCAATACCTACATTGGGTGGGACATGACACGGGCTTTTCAGGTGATGCTCTTCTCGTACCACGCGGTCGGTATCTCCCAACCTTCCATCTAGCCCTCAAGCCCTGTGCTAGCCTCGTGCTGGATTACTCGGCTTATGTTGCTTCACGGATCCAGTGCGATGAGATGCACGGCATCCTTGGATTCGATGTGCTATCGCCGTTGACCAACCGGGGAAACCCGAACGTTTTGCAGTGATTCATGCTTATTGGCCTGACCGAAACAGTAATTGATCTCGTTATTGTATACATGATTTTGGATGTTATGGTATGATATCCATTGGTTTCTTGCCCAAATAGTTGTCTGTACAACTTGGGACTTTACTGGCGAACAAGAATATAATATTCAAAGTACCGCAGGATCTTGGTATGATTATTCGACTGGTGGTGGGGACGATGGCTGCTGCCGCCGAAAGATGAAAGCGAGGTTGTTCGAGAGACATCAAAAAGAGGGTTGCGGCCCCATCTTGGACACGTTGCCGCTCCTCTGGGGAATGGTCAGGAAGAACTTTCACTCTCTATTCAGACGTGGGAAAGCTTGGTACTCTGGCCGTATCTGTTGATCAGCCGTCGTATTGATGAGTTTGAGACATTTGTGTAGCCACGCCTCAGCCATGAAAAGCAAGCGTTTTTCAAGGGCGCATCAAGACATTCCAAACCTTAGTATCCCCCCTTTTCTTAATAATGAGCTGTGGCTTTGTCCCGAATCATTCACGGCTCAATTGCCATGACCTTTTTTTCCCCCATCATGACAGCCCCGCCATTATACGGACAAATGCTACAACAATGATCAGTTCTACCCGAGTCTCTAGCCTGTTGAAGATCCTGGTGGCTTTTGTAATCTTCATTTGGTCTCTATGGTACTTTGAATTCGCGACGCCGGATTATAGGAAAGTTGTTGGACATTTCAAGAGTGAAAAGGCGGATCATCTCGATCATTATCTGCAGCACGAAGTTGGCGCTCCCTTCGATGGCGAGGCAATTGCAGCCCTATGCGCCAATAGAACATGGACCAAGGGCCTCATCTTCCATTGCGATGCAGTCCCAGGAGGGATCGGCGAAGTGAGGAATGCTCACCTCAATTGCATTCGATTTGCAATGGAGGCTGGCGGTGAGTTTCTGGGGACAATCGTGTACGGAGATCGTCGAGCTGACCTCGTCCATGTAAAGCGGAATTGATCCTGCCCGAGGTCGTCAAACGCAACGAAAAGGATATTTCCATCACCATACCCCCTTCGAAAGGGACTCCAAGAAGCATTCCGCTCGACTACTACTACGACAGACAACACTTGAACCAGACACTTTCACGCTTTTGTCCACAGATGACACTCATACAATCTATTGATGAGCTATACAATACCCCAATGGGTAATCCTGTCACAATATCAGTCGCGAATGTTGGTATGGACATGGTGAACGGATCCATGATGAAGTCCCCAGAGACATGGAGGGAGAAGTATCAACAATTTGTTGATACTAAATCCGACGCCAAGATCCGAACCTGGCCATTTCGAGTTATTCTTTCTGTAGACACCTACGTCTGGCCTACCGCATATGATTCGCCTGGGTTTGTCAGCAGCTTCGGCCGCATACTTCGCTTCCGCGAAGACGCAAGGATTCTGTCTGCATCGGCGGTTTCTGCCATGCAGCAGCACGCATTGAAACCGCAAGAGGGACAACCACCAGAGTATCAGGGAATGCAGGGATTTGTGGGAGTGCATCTCAGAACCGAGAAGGACATATGGAATACTGAGTTCCCACCATATGAGGAGCAAGCAGCATACTATTTAGACTTTATCACCAAGTCGCCCTATCGGCTCGCTTACTTGGCTACGGGGGACACGACGGGGAATGTTACTGCTTTCAAAGAAAAGGCGCGCGGCATGAACGTAACTGTTTTTACAAAGAACGATCTTCTGGATCTGCAGGAGCGAGACTATCTCGCCAGCCTCTCCTGGGATCAGCAGGCACTGATAGACTATGAGGTGCTCCTGAGGGCCGACTTAACGGCCGGCATCAGCGCGAGCAGTTTCACGTGGAATGTGGCCCTCCGGAGAGCGGCGGCGGCAGGTTACGTAGGAGGGGAACCGCCAGCGTCGAATGTTGCCGAGCACGTCCGCTGGTGGGACGGCACGTCGTTGATCGTGGGTAACGATGACAAAAACATGGATATGCAAATGGGCATATGGCCCTAAGTTCGTAGCTTTCTAATTTGAGTTGTGTCAACCAAACTGTCGATGAGAAAAATTTTGGGCGCTTTTCCGAGCTTGACGTCGTATCATTTGAACTTTATCTTCGAAGATCGTAAGTGATGCATGCTTGACACGGCGGGGAGGGAGCTTATCTGTATAAGCTCTGAATAGACTCATTGCATCTAAGGAGCCGCTGGTAGCACTTGCGGTCACTGATTGTTGAGTAGCGCAGCAACAAATTTTAATCAACTGGAGAACTTGACTTTATTAAGTCGTGGTTCTCCTCCTCTCGAAAGGCAAAATAGATTAATAATGAGGAATATGCAAAAGAATAGAAGGGCAATTGCCACTATCAAAACGCGACAGTTGCCGTGTTACTCGTCCACTCAAAGCTTCCAGGAGGGGGGCACATATGACGCAGCTCCACCTGGCCTGCAGCTCAACTTCCCACTCAGCTGCTGCCCGCATTTTCAAATTCCTCCTTCATGAACAAGCTGCACTCCCGATTTTGGCAACTCCGTCGACTCCAGGCAGCTATCTTGTGTCCCGCACTCTCTCGCGGCCGTCTTGCTTCATATTCATCACCCAGAATGGCGTCCGGAACAGACATCATCACTTTGGATAATTTCCAGGCTAGAATGCCGAAATGGGAACCTCAACTCGCCAGCCACCTCTATGCCTTGGTAGATATGGGAAGGTGAGCTTTACGTTTGGTGATAGCTGCCGCGATTCCCGAGCTAGAACATTACCCTACTTCTTTTGGGGCTCTCATTCTGACCTCCTGCAGTAACGGTATACGATTCTCCGTGTCTGACCTATCACCACCGCACGCACGCCTTTTGAAATGCTTGTATCGCGAGCGTGCTGCCATCTCTCTGTTTGATGCACTCAACTCATCATCATCATCATCATCCGGTGGAGCTCTACTCTTCCCGGCAGAGACAATCAGCCAGGTTTCGAATACTCTAGCCCGCTTCAAATCCATTGCACTTGGATATGGTGTACCGCCAGAGAATATTTCCATCTTTGCAACGGAAGCGATGCGAAAGGCTGAAAATGCTGGCACCATGCTAGATGCCATCTTTAAAGCATCCGGACTTGGAGTACAGATACTTGCTCCCGAGGTCGAGACCCTCTTTGGAGCCATGGGAGCTCGAAGCAGCTTCTCTGAAGTTAATGGCCTGTTCCTGGATCTCGGCGGTGGCTCTGTTCAAATGTCTTACATGAACTCAGCCATGGAAGGCTATGAGACTCTCGCATCTCAGACTGGCAAGAGTCTCCCTTTTGGTGCCGCGAGGCTAATCAAAATCCTCGGTGGTGACGCAAATGTGCAAGCGACGGCAAAGAACGAACTCGAGTCCGGCCTAGAGGTCGCTTTTTCCAAGCTGAAGCAGCAATTTGCTGAACTCAGAACGCTTTGCGAGAGTCCAAATCTCGGCGGGATCGATGTCTACCTCTGTGGTGGAGGCTTCCGTGGCTACGGCAGCATGTTGATGCATAATGATCCTATTCAGCCTTACCCGATCCCAGCCATTGGATCCTATACTGTATCAGGGCAATTCTTCAAGGAAACCACTGCTATGCGCCTTGTGAATGAGGAATATGAAGGCAAAATCTAGTAAGCATTGATGAGAGCCTTTTGTTATAGTTTCTTGTGTCTTGTCGACTGACTCGGAGCTTCACAGTGGTATGTCAACTCGGCGACGCCAGCAATTTCCTGCCATCACTACAGTAGTCGATGCATTGATTACTGCTGTGCCAAATATCCGTACTGTGACATTCTGTGCCGGTGGTAACAGAGAAGGAGCTTTACTTATGAAGCTACCGCGGAACATCAGGGAAACGAAACCACTCACTCTCCTCCATCAGCCAGACGATGAGACAAAAGACGATGTCATGTCATCTGTCATCACGACCATTCTTTCCGCTGCACCTACAGGTTTCGACTTTTCAAAGATCACCACAGTCTTCACCTTGGGGCTTGGGCGACTCTTTGTAGGCAAAATTTGGTCTCACCTCGGCGAGCCCAGCGAGGCCAATGCAGCATATGAGCTTCATCGCACTGTCACCCGCGATCCGAGCACGCCAGGATTGACTCATCTCGCCAGGGCTGTTCTCGGTCTGACTACTTGTGCTCGATGGGGCTCCACTCTAGGTCCGATTGACCAGCAACTGCACATTGGACTCCGGAAGCTTGCTGCACACGACTCACCCGAGGCAAACTTTTGGGCTGATTATTTTGGTGTTGTGGCCTCGGTCCTGACCACTGTATGCCCTGCCGAACCCAAAGCGATAGACGAACTCGACAAGCTCATCAGGTTTGTTCCAGCCCTTGCTCATCTTTGTAATCGTATTGATGTGAGCACAGATTTTCCGCCAAAATCGTCGATGGCAAGAAGAAACCTCAGATAGAGTTGACGATTTTTGTTGCCGACCAGATAGCCGACTTGCTCGAGCGAAACGAGATTGGCGAAGCATTCAAAAGCGTCGCAAAACACAAGAAAGAGCCATGGACGGTCGGAAGAAAGGTCAAAGCGACCGTTGTGAGAATGTCGTGATTCATGGCATAGATTCTAGTCTACTCGGGCTGCCAAATCCCCCCCCAGATTATCCGCGATACCAACAAGTTCCAACCCTAGCAATCATTCTTGCCGATTCCATTTGAAAAGACGATGAGTGAAGAGTGGGTATCATATGGACTCCGAACGCCTTGACAAATAATGCAATACTGCCTTCCGGCATGGACACCGACCCCCCAAATACATCAGACACGCAAGTTTGACCCCAAACATTGGAAAAACACTCTCTTAACCTCGTCCGATCTCATCAGTTCATCTAACTACCTTGATGTCTTTTGGCGTTTCGCGGAATGGCCCTTTTTGGTGGTTTTGGGGCGCAAGACCGAGAGGAGCACGTTCAATTGGTTGAGCTTCGGGTCGAGGCTGTCGACTGAAAGTGGTGTCAGCAGTCTGGTTGTTTAAAAGAAATTGCGATAATACTCACTATACTCATCCCGGCGAGCCTCGACCTGTTTCAGCACGGCGTTCATACGTTCCTTCACGCGGCATTGATGTTCTCCCTGGCGGCTATCCACTTTGAAAGCGAGTTCCTTCTTGCCGAATGACGCCTCGCAAATCACAACCAACGCAGAGAACAACTTCTTTGAGATATTCCGCAGCTGATGGGCGCTTCGATAGTATGCATGATCTGGAAACAGTCAGTTGTTGTGATCGCATGTGTCAATAGTGGGTAACTAACTTGGCGGCATGGTGTTTACTGATACGGTCTTGCCAAACAGGTCGTAATACATCAGGATGAGTTGCAGCACGGCTGCCCAGACGGCCATTTGATCGTCGTCCTGCAAGGCATCCTTTTGCTTGGGGTTGACAAGAGACTTTTCCAAGAGGGCAAAGACATCTTGTTCGAGTCGCCTCAACTCGAACTTGGCCAGGTTTCTCAATCCGGTTTGCAACAATTTACCAAGTACATGCATGGGTCCACCAGACTCGTACTGGTACACAAACTCTTTCTGACTCCAGATCTTGTACAAGCATCGCATTTCGTGAATCTTGTTCAGAAGGTCACACTACAAAAGATAAGTATTGGCTTGAGAGACGGGCGCTGACGTACTCACCTTGGGCAGGGCCACGTGCTTTCCGGGCGCACGTATTGGCGTGTGCGTGTACTCGAGGACAAAGTTGTCTAGAGTGGACTGGAAGTCGGTACTTCCTATGTTGACCATGTGTTGTTGTGCCCATTGACGCAAATCGACATAGTTCGGTTGATGGTCAATGTGCAGGTTACAGTTGCTGGCATCGAATTCTTGTCCAGGTACCAGGCTACTGGCCTTCATTACGACATGCAAGCGCAGAGGGTTCTGCGGTATGCTGTCGTTCATGGCCGGCCGGAAGTATACATTGAGCGTTCCGACTTTATCACCAGGCGCCGGTCGGCTCGCAATGAGCGATGGGAAACGACCCGTGTCTGTCTCTGCTTGCTGTTAGATTCGACGAAGAAGCTTTCGACATTGTTTGGACATATGATGGACGTACTTGCAATCTGGGGAAATAAGAGTTGGCTTTCCGCGAATGGATTACGGAAGCAGATGTGGCGCCCCAGGATGGAACCAGAACCGCACTTGTACTTTGGTGCTTTCTCGGTACATTTGCCGCAGACATCCTTCTCGTCACACTAGCAACATGTCAGCCATCTGTCTTTGTATATATTGGTTGTGATGAAGGCAATACCTTGACCTTACGGACTCGGCAGCAAACGCATGCTCCTACCGCTCGCACCTCTGCCACCTCGTCTCCATTCTTGAGGGGACCGTTGCGCTTCCCGCGAGCTAGGTAGGGATTGTTCAACTGACTTCCGTCACTGCTGGACCTTGGACTCGAGGGTGGAGACAGCAATGTGCTCTCGGAGTTGTAGCCATTGATGCTTGCTCCGGCCGAGTGTGCATTGTTGACTGAGATATGAAGATGATAGGCCGAGTTGTTCTTGGGCCGGAGTTCCCGCTGTTGGGGAAAGGTATACCCGTCATCAGTCTTCTTGGCTTCCTTGAGCTGACTCCTGTACTGAGAGTAGTCCTCCTTCTCCCGTGGAGGAGAGGTGGCGCCGTCTTTTTCTGATGGCGGTGGAGTCGTGCCGGAGGTGAGTCCAGGCATGGAGGGACTGTCAGACTTGGATCTAGATGGTGCGTTGATGACTTGGTCTTCCCTCCACAAAGTCCAGTCGAAAAAGTCATCAAAGAGGCTCTCATCACCAGGCTCACTGACTTCGGGAGAAGAATGAAAGGGAGAATGGGGCAGGTAGAAATCGGCGGCACCGGGATTCTGGAGGAACCGGGGACGGGGCTTTTGTACTTCTTGGATGACCAGCTTGATACCCTCGACAAACTGGGGTGTCTCCCGGGAGTGATCCATTTGCATGGCGCGTGCGTATAAGTCACCGGTCATATGTAGGTACCTTGTCTGTCTAACCCAAGTATAACCGAATCAGCAGACGTCAGGCACAGACAGAGCGGGTCTCTTGTTTTCTGAGTGGGGTGTGATATTTGTTCGATAAACTGTTTTTCTTTTGGGTGAAGGACAAATAATGAAGAATACACGGTTTGTGATACTGGACCTTTGGAAGATGTAAAGACCCCATGGTCCTCATCCGCGAACACCTCTTCAAGAGGCGTATATCGAACTTTGCTCTCATTGGCGAGTTGTACATGGAGCTAGTAGGCCATTGACGAATAGAATCCCCTGTAGTCACCGAGAATGGGATGCCAGAAGCTCGCTCACTTTGACTGGCCGCTCGTCACCTGACCCGGCCAGTTGCTGAGGCCCGGCTCTAGAGCGCAAACAATTTTTTTTTTGGGGGCCATTGGCTCCAAGACGCCTTCGAATCACCATCTAGTCGGGCGCAAGGCTGTAATTTCAAGCTTCGACGAGGCTATAGAAGCAATAGAGAACTAAGCAAATCATTTTTTACTATAGCATACCGTGAAACAATGATTCCGATGTTCTGACCCAAAGAGGAAATTGTGGTCGATGGCCCATCGGGGTGCCTGCAGGGCGCAACTACAAGGTTGCAAGCCATCACTTTTCCATCTGGGAACTCTTAGCGGCAAAGGAGCTGAGACCTGACCACTCACCACCAATAACGTCGGCGTCTTTTCCTCGGGCATCGATGAACGTTCAACCTGCATACGTCCCATACACCTGATACATTACATATTGACGAGCCAGACCCTTCTCTTTTCTACTTTTCATAATACTTCTGCCTTTCGGAGCACCTGCTTCGTCCTTGTTTCGCTAAGAAAGACGCATGTGTGATGAGGAGGGGTGTTCATCTAGGAGGGAGGGACTTGATATGTCGACGCCAGTGGGCCGTTTATAGTACATACGTCCAAACAAGATAGGGCAACCTACATTACCTACCTACCTACATACATACATACCTACATACCCTTTACGAGATCTCGCGTCACCTCGAAAAGTAGCCCGCTGACCGACTGCCACCGCACACCTCTCTGTGCAATTGCCCTTTTCGGTCCATGTCAGGCATGCTGATTGGCCCACTGACAACATTTAACCCTGGGTCCGATGGAGAAAGAAAAAAGAAAGAAAAAGAAACCAACACTTTTTTCATCGTGCCTGTGCCAGGTCATCTATTGCCCCTCCTACCCTTTCCAACCCCCCCACCAGACTGGACGAGTCCCTCCAACCCATTCTCGCTGTGTACTACCTCAACGTGTAAGACAAGGGGGGAGAGAAAATGCAAGGTGCACGATACGTTTGCTGACGCATCATGCAAGAGTAGCCCCTCGGTGGCTACAACGACCGGCGGAATAGTGTCTGTATTTGAGAGTCATTCTCCGGGCTTTGTTTAGCAGGTACTTTCTGGTATAACTATCAACTTACTCCTGCGAGGGAAAGACAAGGTGATGGATGACAAATTTCTTCCATGCAATGGCATTGGCTTGCCTACCTAGATAGTTTGTGATGTATGGTCAACCTCCGGTCTCCGACGCTTCACTGACCCACACCACCAGCCGGCTCAAGTTCTCGCGAAGGATAGATGCTCCACCAGAGGCCAAGCCTGCTTGTGGTCGCTGGCTCTTGTTTGCAGATGGTATATTTATTCTTGATTGCGGATCGATCTTTTGCGGTCTTCCCCGCGACCAATGAATAGTTGGTCGGCGTGACTCGATTCGAAAAGTGCAAATGATAGAGGTAAAGAATGCCTCGACATTTTGGAGATTACTGTCTGTATACTCTTTTTGCCAGTTAAACACTATTCTGGCAAAGAGGGGGAATCCTTGGCGCCACAGCACTATAGTCTTTCTTACAATTTTTTTTTTCAGAGTGGAATATCAATGGATAAAATACCTTACGTGTCTTGACACTAAATAAACGAATGTTCAAGGAAAGGTGAGCCTACAAGTATGCGCAAAGTAACTTTCGTAACAGAGATACAATAATGGTTTGGATACTACAGTGAGAGCGACCGGCGTTCACTTTGAAATAAATAAGATAAAAGAAGTTACGTTGTGGTTAATATTGATAGAATAGCATACGCTGTGTGATTACACTCGTGCGCCAAATACATCTGTCTCAGGTATAGCATATGCAGTGCCTGCCTATCAATTGATCGGACCCAGAGGGAGGCTTTCACCTTTTTAGCTCCCGAGGAGCATGAAGATTGTCGGATCTAGGAAGAAGGAAATAGAGTGTCGGGAGTCTCCGTGAGCCTAATTCTGTGACTCTGGATCCCACTATAATGTGGAGATGCAGATTTACAACCATCATAGTCTCTATTTGGAGCCCACTTCTCCAACAACCCTTGATAGCTCAGTTGGCAGAGCGATGGACTGTAATTGCAACAATTCCAATTCAGGAATATCCACAGGTCGCCGGTTCAAATCCGGCTCGAGGGACGCAATTCTTTTGCACTTTTTGATGTGCCGACTTGATATATCACAACTGCCTTTTCTTTTTTTCTTCTCTCCTCCCCCAATACACCAAGAATATTTCGTACAAAGAGCATAGTTAAGCAGCATCGTATCGTATGCTAGTCTAGCAAAACAGTGTAAACAGTCAAAGTTACCGACCCCTTACTTTTGCTTCGTCGGGATGTGGGGGAATGCACACATACGTTCGTCAACCTGATCTCCATCTGCGAGATTTTTCTCCCATGGTGGACTTTAAATCAGTTCCCACTGTTTATTAGTGCTAGCCTGAGCACAATACTACTGCTGGATCATGAATGGGAATGAGGAAAATGGCATACGTGTGTACGCTAGGTGGCCGTTTCGCTATCTTTGGCGGGGGCCGAGGACTCTCTAGAAAGATTTACACTTTTCTAGGACTGTGGTAAGCAATATGATGCCCATAAAACGAGCGGGGCCAGCACAGTTTCACCCAAGTAGTGTAAAGGGTATGGGACCCAGCAGGAATGCTTGCATGCTCAGGGAAGATGCCAGTTAATCGCACGACTCTGGCAAGCATTCTTCAACAAGTGGATCGTCGCCCATCTACCGTCCGGAATACTTTTCGCACATCGATATGATCATGTGCCCATGGAATTTGGATGGTAGAGGGCAGCCAATGAAACAGTATTACGCGAGATAGCAATCAACCCAGAGGTCACCTTGAGGTCCGGAGCGCTAGCTTTTGATTGGCTCAAAGTCATTAAACATTGCTCCTGAAATTTCCATCCTTGAGGCTCTGCGAGATAGTACAGAGGACGACCCGACCAACCACATACAGGTCATACGACTCTGATAGTACACCCATCTTGCCGCTCGGCTTCTTTATGCTTAAAAATGGATGTTCCAATTGCTGCTGCAACGCTGGGAATAGCGGGCGCTGTATGCTGGTCGGTGCAGGTGAGTCCAGTCTGCTGGCCAACTTCCGAATTCTACAGCAACTGATCATCTTCCGCGGTAGCTGATTCCCCAAATCATCATCAATTACCGCAAACATGACACGACGGGGCTTCAACCCGTCATGATGCTACTATGGGCGACCGCCGGCATCCCTCTCGGCGCTTATAACATTGTGCAGGACTTTCATATCGCGCTGAAGATCCAACCTCAGATCCTCACGGCGCTCAGCTTGACCACCTGGCTCCAGTGCCAGTACTACGGGAGCCGATGGTCTTGGTTCAAGTGCTTGGTCCTCGTCACGCCACTGGCTCTCGTGTTGGCCGGCGTCGAGTTGGGTTTTGTATTCGCCTTGTACGCCGCCAAGGGTCGCCACCTGCAGTGGCCCATGACGCTGATGGCCGTCTTGTCTGCCTCCCTCCTCAGCGCGGGCGTGCTGCGCCATTATTGGGATATTTACAAGGAACGGACCGTCAGGGGCATCTCCTTTATCTTCGTTGCCATTGATGCGCTCGGGGATCTCACCTCTCTGGTGTCCATCTTCTTCCAGCCGGACCTGGACGTACTCGGCATGGTGATCTACGGATCCGAGCTTGTGCTCTGGCTCGGCATCCTTGGTTGCGGTGGCTACTGTAAGTATAATAATATAGTCATTTCCATCGGACGCCCGATATGGGGAGCCGTGGGCCCCGGGCTGGCCACGGCCTCGCTTGTCCCGCATGTTCCCTCTTTGCTAACGTGAATAGTCAACTTGAGGCCCTGGCTCGGTCAGAAAATCGCGGCTGTACGCGTCCGCCATGGCCCAGAAGTACACAGTACTAGGGTCATCGACGAAGACAACGACGACTCGCCCGAAAGCACTCGGCAGAGTCTGTCATCAAGGTCGAGTAGCACGGTCTTCCAGACTGCCTCCTCGGCACGAGCCGACCACGCAGGAGGGTCGACTCCCAGCCTTAGACTGCGAACAGTGCCTTCCTTGCAAGATACATAAGGATTGCAACGGCAATACTTTGTAAATGCCATCATTATATTGTAAACAGCAAGTGTTCTATCCTACTCGGATCCTTGGCATCAAAAGTACTATGTACGCTCTCTTAATGTAAATGGACACTTGTCCTATTCTGTCTGATTACATGGTCTGTTCTGCCTGTTCATAAATTTCTAGTATGACTTGGACATATGCCACTACTATATCATCTGGACCTAGAGACGCAAGTACACAATGTGGAGTCTTAAGTCTTGCACCATGAGAGCATGATCAAATAAGTAGTAATATCAGATCCTTGCAGCGTCGCTTGGCCATTCTGTAGAGAGGTACGTAGTCCGGGGGCATGGCGTTCAGACCGCGCCTAAACGTTTCATGCTTTTCTGGAGAATCTCGATTCAATTTTCTTTTTAAGGTATTAAAAGGGTCGCCGAGGTAGCAACCAGTGTGGGCATATGGAATGTTCCCTTTCCACGGGGCGTGCTAGGGCGTTCTTCTAGGCAGTCCTACCTTGTACAAGCTGTACTACGGACTCGGTGTATCCCGAATGGATGCGGATCTGGTCATCCAGCTAATGCCTACTGTGTATAGTGGGCAGCGAGCGAGCGGGTTGCCGGAAATCTGTCAAGAGCCGCACAAGAAGAATTTCGCTCCCGAGGCCGGCGAACAAGTGGTGCGATCCATCCCCCTACTGGGAGCGCTCGCTGGACAGCCCACGAACGACGCGCACGACGACGGACGAACCGCCCACTAGGCAGCCTCAATATGTGGGCTCAGAATGCTCCATCCAATGGGGCCATTTGCAGACTAGACAACGACGAAGGATTCGTCTGCTTAATGGAGAATGATATTTTTCAGCAGACATTGCATCCTCGGGGTGTAATAATATAGTCATGATCAAAGCCAACTTTTGAGGCTGTGCTACAGCAGGGCATCCTCCTGGAGCACTCAGCCCTACATACCGAGAAGCGAAAGTATAGTAATGAAAAAAAGAAGAGGAAAAAGAGAATGCTCCTTTCGACGCCACCGTGGCAATCATTATCCGCGACTCTGGGTTGAGAATTTCTCCTTTGCAATTAGTATTTGGAATAGCCTCCTCCACGAATCTGATGAGTTCTATAATCCGAGTAGCCAATGCAAGGCATGTAGGCATCGTCAAAAAGTTCCAAATCACAAGCTTGACAGGGCCTCCTCCTGAGTTCCGATGGTCAGCGCTAGGGAATGGCTTCAGTCACTGTATGGAGTCAATGTGCAGAGAGGGACGGGACATGCACTTGCGTGCTGACTTGCAGCTACCAGCAGGGCGGGGTCACTGGATTGGAGAACGAACTCCATTGTATGAAGGACTGATCATCTCGTGGATCACCTCATTTGGCTGGCCTATCGTGATCTCAAGAGACAGTTGTGGTAACTTGTGTGTGGTAGGGTAGGGGGAGAGGAAGCTTGCAGCGGTTGACAGATCAGTTTCATTAGCGATCAAATCAGTCAGCGGCCCTTGATACACTCTGACAGGTGAGTCGCACGAAGAAGCAAATTTATTACCTAAGGTACCACTGGCTGAATATGACGGAATAAAAGTTAATATGAAAGAGAAAAGACCGACCGGAACGGAATCAGAAAGGGGCAAAACCATGGACCGTTGCACTAAAACTCGGCTGAAATACTTTGCTGAATCACGAGTTATTTACACCACGTGCGTGCGGAACGACTCGCTTACAGCGCAAGCAGCGCGACCAAAACTCGTGGTGAAAGGTTTTTCTCTCCTCTGCATTTTTTTCTCTCTCGTTTTGTCCTTGTCGTGACTGTCCGCTAGCCCCGACATGGCGATGAACGACAGTGTGAGAGCTAATAATAGCCCTTGCAGCCCCCCTCCAAGCGACCAAGAGACCCTTAACGCCACGTTAGTCTGCTCAGCTGTTTTCAGGCACGAACCTTTTGCTCTCTTTCTGCCTCTCTTGCATTTCGTATTGTAAATATCGAGCCCTAGGCGGGGACTTGCAGGACGTCGGTACCGCCCTGCAGCAAGGGCGCAATCTCAGCACAATTTCTAGAAGGAGGAGCGCGAGATGAAGTTGCAAAGTGATTTCAATACACAGTAATAATAGTAGTACAAGTACATAATTTCCCTCCTGGATGATGCGATCCATGGACGATCTCGCAGATCGCCTGAGGACGACCAGGGTAGAAAGCGAAACAGCGGCACGCATTGGAGCAATATGCCGCCTAAACAGGCCTTGGCCCAGTTCCCCGGGAATTGTTCTCTCTTTGCACCTCTCCCCTGCTTGCCTGCCCGCCCACCTGCCCGGCAGCAACCCCTGCAAGTCCTTGGAGAAAGAGAGAATGACGCAGTCACAACTGCTGCAGTCAGGCCATGTATCTTGCTCATTGCATACGCACCGTGGCTGAAGCGGGACGAGACTCGTTGTCCATTGGGGGTCGGGTCCTGCTGCACACGTACACACAGCACATCGCAACACGATTTTTCTCTTGCGTGTATGTGTGTGTAGCGGCGGTGGCGACGACGACGCTTGCTGCATGCCAAAGCCACCGACGAAAGGAAGATTTGGGAAGCCTGGCCATGCATCATTGGCATCCATCCCCCTCATCAATTCCCACGTTCGCGCAAGCAGTATGTAGTACGTACAAAAGTAGTTCAACTAGGAGACGACATTTGGCGAATCGCGAACAGCACGAGCTCGCTCCCGGCGGCGTAGAAAAATAATGCAATGCCACCCACACCCGCACGCAACCCACAGCTCTATGTGTTAGCACGGGCTTGCATAATGATACATAGCAGTTGCAGCGCGTTGGGTTCATATGATGGCAGGGGGTGGTTCATTTGCAGCGCCCAAGCAGCGTGGGACCCCGTCCCAAACGTCCCAAAACAGAGAGCTCATGTGCTGTGCCGTTTCTAGAAACTTGACAAAACTTCCTTGCAAGCCACTTGCCTGGGCACCGTTGAAAAGCTCCCAACCTTGATTTTATACTACTAAATAACCTGCCTTGCCTACACAACTGCCAACTTTGTGAACACGAGTATTCATTCGCCTTGGTATTTTATACTTTGCTACTGGGAACTGCTTGGTCCATTATTCTCATTACTGCTGTCTGTACGCATTTCACCTCTAGGTATTATTTGTGCTCGTCGCTGGACCGTTGCTTGTCTCGACCGTTGTTCTCCTATTCGTTAAGCTTGTCCCCAGTCGCCCACTCGCTGCCGCCAAACCCGAGATCTCTTCGTCTACTAGCTCTTGTCCTGCCCTCTCCACAACCAATCTTTGATGCTTGCGCGTACGCAAGCGTCCGCAAGAAGGTCCGTAAAAGCACGAAGCCGTCTTTGTGGAGACGGTCGAACGGTGCTTGGATCCCAGGATCACCCATACACGCCCACTACGAGTCTGCGGGCTTAGCGGTAGGAGGCTTGCGTAGCAGCCCTTTAACTCTCGGGCTCTGTCCATTATTTGCTTTGCTTGCTTGGTTGAAAGGAAAAATCCCCAGGTCAGGGATACCATCACTTTGCAAGACAAGCCCAATATGTCTTCAAGTAAGTCGAAGCGTGCCGGCAGTGGCCGCAGTTCTGTTATTTCTGCCTCTGTTTCTTCTTCTCCTACCTCGTCATCGACCTCTGTAAACACCACAAACGACCGAGATTCGCCCAGCTCTACTGTCGCCGAAAGCCCTAGCACCAACGAGGAACAGCAGCAGCAGCAGCAGCAACTGCACAGCCAAAAGCAGCCAACCGTCCCGCCCGCGGATTTAGCATCCAGTCCGTCGGAAACTCCAGCCCAGCAGCCAGAGTCAGATGGTGCCGCCAGTCAACCGCCTGCCAAAACCGAAACCGCTACTACCACTAATAACACCAAACCACGAATGGCCAGCGCAGGGCCAGTGCTCGCTCCTCCTCGGCCGGAAGTCCTCAGGAAGAAATCCAAGCTGCATCGCTTGTCGTCCTTCTTTCCGTCGCTGATCAGTTACTCCTCCTCAGATTCAAACACACTGCGAAAATCGCAGCCGCACTCGAAACAAAAAGAAAAGTCGTCGTCGTCGTCGACCCTAGCCGACTGGGAAGCCCAACTTAAAAGTCGTTTTGACTCTCCCAGCACAGATAAGCTCGCGCTCGACTCATCCTTGACCTTGAACGGCAAGGCGGGCCATCAGAGTCAATCTTCCCTTGACGTTACAGAGATGGGCAGACTCCAGAAGCAAACCCAGGCACCGCCGCCTCTGCCGACTTCACCAGCTCCTCCTTTGCCGCCCAAGACACCCGAGTTACCAATTACTCCTAGTGACCCGGGTTTCAACTTCACAGAGACGCAGCCCTCCCCAAAGCTGACCAAGGCGAGGCGCAGGAGTAGCTCTCTTCACAACAGCCAAACTTCACCCCCTAAACAAAATAACCTCGCACCTAGAGCGCTCTCCCCTCCCAAAGAGCCACGAGGAAGGAGTGCCTCGGCTCAACCCCCGAGCACTAAATTGGAACCTGGAGCTAGCAACCGTCAAGTCTCCGCCACCGCATCACTCGACTCCCGGCCAACCTCAAGCAATGGCAGTCAAAGCCCAACACGCGATATGGAGAAGCGTGGACGCCTTCGAAAGTCCTGGTTTGGAGGCGGCAGGTCTCGCTCCAATTCTCAAGACCTTCGAGGCTCTCCTGGAGGAGCTTGGACCTTGGGTCCGACCAAGGCCGACTACAATACCTCGTTCCTCGAGAAGGGAGAGCGCGTGCCCGAGCTGTGGAACGAAAGCGGCAATGTCTTGGTCTACCTTCATCCAAAAGCAAGCGGCAAAGGACCTTCGTTCAAGGTCATGTCATTCGTGACCGACTATTCGCTCTTCTTCCAGGAGTTGATCGAAGCCGAGGTCCTCTCGTCGTCTGACAGCGGCGGACGGCCCCGCGGGCAGAGTTTCTCAGGCCGCGGCAGTTTGTCTGTCGGCGATGCAGAGCGATACGCCGATACTCCGCCCTCGCCCCCGCTGAGCGATTCGAACGGAGAAGCAAAATTGTATCTGTCGAGCGTCCTGGTCGGACAGCTCCAACCTGGCAATGGCCCGCAGCCAGATCTCGAACGTCTCATTTCGCTGCGGAACATGTTTGCGCTTCTGACAGGACAGCCGTTGGTCGGCAACAAGTCGCAACCGACTGTCTTTCCTGTTCTCATGCGTGTGGCCAATCATTTCGCAGAGGTAAGCAAGAAATTTATTGCAGAGAAGCTCGATGCGAATGCAACACTTCTCTTTGGGTAGTCTTTGAAATACTAACGTGCCCGCATAGTATGACTTTACCAGTGTAGATGGATCAACTTTTGGCGACTCGGTCGATATGAGTTTTGGATTCTTCATGGAGAGCATGGCAATTGCAGATGTCCGGCACTCCCGGGAGAAGACACTCGAAGCTCTACTACTTGGTGAACGCATGAAATCATGGGAGCTCTACAATGAAGCCTTTTCGCACGCTGTAGGCAAGTACACTACCCTGCGCGAATTGAACTCGCCTCTCTGGGACCAATTGTCCGAGCACACGCGGCAAAGGCTAGACAGAGGGCACTTTGAGCTCCTCAACCGACAGAACAATATCAACAATAGACTGGAGAACTTTGAATTCCCAGCCCTTTTCTCGGGACTTGCCAATTCGACAACACAATACAAGAATGTCAAGTTCGGCCGGTGGAAGTCATCCTTTGGACGAATGCGGTCATTTGTCCTTGGCTACTACAAGTCGAGCTTCGGTAGTTGGCCGCCAAAAGCCCGCAGCAAGAAGAACCCATTTACCGAAAGCGGACTCAACCGACAAGTCCTCAAGATCCTCTACTCAGACTTGTGCGCCCTGTACGACCTCATCGTTGACCGGACATCCTTGACACCACGATCCTTGGACTCGGACAAGATGGAGGAGGACGAAAACGACCCAATGTCAGCTCTACGCCGTATCCTGACCGAGTATGACATGTCATCACCTCCTGTCTTGCCTCCAATCCCTTACGACACACCCAGATTGCCCGACTTTAAATCTGTCAAGGAGAATTACTATGAGCTTCCGGCCAAGGAGCAGAAGAGATTGGACAGCAATTATCAACCCCATGAATTTTTGCTCATTCTCAGCAAGTCATACGATTTTGAGACTCTGAGACTGAAGCTTCCATTCCTTGAGCAGTTTACTGATTTCGAGGAGAAGGAGGCCAAAGGCAAGCCGATCAGTGAAATTGCCGACCAAAGAATCGGATATTTCCTCTTTCTCTATGTGGTCATCCAGTCGTTGCCCATGCTTGTCGTCGATGCTCCTGGCCTCAAATTCACCGAAGGAGTCGAGTACTTCCTGTGCCAACCACCAAAGGGCCAGCCCCCGTGGTTGGGAGACGCTGCCGAACCCCGCAAGAGGTGGTATGAAGTCTCGGGCGGTGCTGGCTATGTGGAGCTTAGCGAAGACACAATCGAGTTTTCCATTGAGGGTATCTATCACAGGAGTCACTGTTGGGTTGCCGCCAAGCAGTGGGAAGCAGGCATAAGTGGCGGGTTTGTGGCCGAGCCCGATGGTTATAACGACTTGCCTCCGCTAGAGGCTCCTCAATCCGTCTTTGCCGACAACGATCCCAGCCTTCAGATGAGCCCAAGATCCATGGATCGTAGCGAATCGCCAACCGGCATGGCCCCCGGGTTGGCGTTGCGGAATTCCTCACCGGGTGCGGGCTTGGCTGCTCCAGGCAGACCTGGCTACCGATCCAGTGTTGCTCTCGGTCTTGAGCCAGTGGCGATGCCTGGTGAACAGCGCCGCGCGAGCGTACGCACGTCCCGTGTCTTTACTGGCCGGGAAGGATCCATTGGTCCTCGACCTACAAGCGTGATGATGGGACGAAGCAGATCCTCGAGCAACATGCACGGCATGGCCATGGGTTCGCCCGGCTTTGCCAGCCCAGACTCGGGAACCAGCTCGCGCCAGGACTCGCACAATGGCGGCAGTACATTTGATGACATCCTCAAGGACATGGACAGCAAGCCTAAGAAGAAGAAGAGCTTTTTTTAAGCTAGGAAAGTAATGATTTGGACATGACCAAACGACAAGTTCTTTTGCATATACTACAATAAAAAAAAGCGAACATATGGGCGGCGATCAGGACAAGGGCGAAGATATTTTTTTTTTCCTCGCAGGGACAAGTGTTTTACTATTACTTGGTCACTCGAGTCAATTGGCATATACCGAACTGGACCAAAAAAAGGAGTAAAAAAATGTACATGGCGCCATTTGCATAGCAAGCAGTGTTTGCATATAGATGCACAGCATGGCAAGCCTGCCACTTTGAAATTAATGTCTTTTCAGCATTTGATCGTTGGTTCATTTTCCCGTTGCTCGACTTTATGTGTGAAAGAAATGGCCATGGAGGGTGATTTCCTTGATCATCGTATCCCGTGTTCCCATGTTCCCGCGTCAATTTGCAATTGCCCATGCCTGGCTGGGTTTCTTTACTGGCTCCGCATTCCCGGTTTCGCTCGAATAAGAGATTCCTGGTTATGCAGCATTGGACAAGGGATTGCACTGGATGTCGTCGCCACTGATATCGACGGGGCTCGCGTCCTATAGGCGGGCAAGTGCCGCGGTGGGATGAGTAGTACATATGTAGACTTGCTTTTTCTTCAACTTCGCTTGCAAATGGCATGAAAATTTGCGCAAAAATTTACAATACGTACAGTTTTTGGAGAAGATGAAAATTTCAGGAGATCACAATGGATCAGTCTTGCATTAAATGACGTATTCTAATACAAGACTTGTTGCCGAGTGCCCATGGTCCATGACAAGATACCGAATACAATAATGACCTGAATGATATGGTCACCATCACCCACAGAAACTGATGCTACTGTTCTGGGCAGCTTGTGCTCACGCCACACATGTAACCTTAAATAATGGAATGAAAAAGGTAACAGAGCCTCCTCCTCCTCCTCCTTTTTTCCCCAGACCAGAGCACCAGAACTCCATTTAGCGACTCCCACACAAAGCGTGAGACTGGAAGGGTACACGACAGGGGCCAGGACAAGATTGTGGACGCCCTGAAACTATACCGAGATCTGCCTAGCATATCGGCGGAGATGCTGCTGAACAGCCGACCAGGGAGCCGCCTGACCAATGGGTGGTCACGCTTCACCACCCACGGCCTCCCCCCTCCAACACGTCAGAGCACCAGATTCACAAGAGAGAGCTGCACCAGACCTTGCAGCGCGTGCATGCTATCTTGGCTGCCTCGCGCCGCCCAAACGGTGCTTTGCCTTTGGGAACAAAACATTTCAAGGGAAAGACGGCGCCCAATGTTCGCTCAACGAGGCACCCCTTCTACCTGTTTCTTTCCCTTGCAATTCATGGTCGCCTAATCGGCGCTCACGTAAACGTCTCGTTCTGTTATTTTTAATTGTGCCATCGCCCATGCTCACCTGACTTTGTAAACTACTACTACATCCATACCTGACGTGCTTGGGTACCTGCAGTATTTCCCGTCCCTTCCTGCCTGCCTACTACTTACAGTAGGCAGTACCCAAGTATACTTCTTTTTTGGACCAGCATTTGTTTTTCTCCCCAATGTTGGCAAAACTCTAATACTTTTTTTTTTTTCTCTAAATGTTATTTGCAACCTTTTTAGCTAAATCGCACATTACCCCGTTCGTCTTCGAGTATTCTGATCACGGGCGCGGAGCACGTAGACCCAATCATCACCTTTCCTTGCGCTGTATTGCTCTTTATTACTGGAGCTGTCTGTCCTACTTGGCTTGCCTGGGTTGTCGTGCTATCTACCAGGAAGCTTGCAACCATAGCAACGACGCGCGCGAACAGAGACCCCACCAAAAGAAGTTCGCCCTCCGTTACGATCGAACGTCTGCCTACCTTGAATCACACTCTTCCATGGCCCCAATTGAGAAGAAGAGTTGATTACTTGCAATTATTGTCTGGAATATTTCAGCCTGCCGGCTGCTGGAAGGTGTTTTCCTCCCCAGTCGGTACTTATTACTGCATACTTTGCTTTGTCATTCACACTACGCTTCTATCGCTACCAATCTACTGAACAAGTGCCCGTTTGCGCAGTGCCCAAAGGGCCGCATTTCCTGGCCTCATGGCTTCACAGGATGAAGCGACGCAACCAGGTGCGATCCCCACTCCCGGATGACCCGTGATAAGTTTTGCGCCATCAGTTCTAACCTGAGCATCTTGACAGCAACGCAGAATGCGCTGGATCCCAGGCGACTTGGCCAGCAGAACTCGGGCTTCTCCAACGAAGACATTGCCGATATTGTCTGCATGCTCTACCCACGAACCGAGAATGCCAGCCGAGAAGTCGCGGGCCTGGCCGACATACTCAGCGAACATGTTGCCGTCAGATACGCCGCCGATGCTATCAAGACCGACCCGCGCCGGGAGGACGATCCTCGCGAGTTTGGCCGCGCCCCGGGAATAGGCAACTATGCCATTGTGCTAAGGCTGTCTGCCAAGGCCAAATCCCCTTCCCTGGGCTTCACATTCGGCCGTAACGAAGGCCGTTGCGACATATGTTTTCACAGTGACCCGTTTCGAAGGCTCAGCAATATCCATTTTCGGATATTTATCAACACACATGGCGTCCTTATGCTGGAGGATACATCGACCAACGGAACGATAGTAGATGATGTTATGCTGAAAAAGAAGAGGGATGGTCGAGATGGACAACCAAACCAGACCAAGAGGACACTCGAGAGTGGCACCAACATCAAGATTCTCATGCACGAGAACGCTCACGACATGGAGTTTATGGTCCGAATGCCGCACAGAGAAGGCGCTCTCGAGGCCAGGTACCTCCAAAATCTTCAAGCGTATTTCCAGAAGCAGGGTATCGAATTTGACCTGGATCGGACTATTGGACCTGGGCCCAACGGAGGACCTGTGAGTCAATGTCTTGTCTTAAAAAAGTGCAGCTTTGCTAATCAAGAAGCAGGTCAATCTATTCCCCCCGCCTGTACGGAATGAAAAGACAGCACGCAATGGCTCTGCAGCGCAGCCTGCGACCAATCTTTTTGAATATCAACACCCTCGCGAGTTTCAAAGCAACGAAAAGTATGCCAAAGTGGGCGTAATTGGCAAAGGCGCTTTTGCAACAGTTTACAAGGTTACTAGCAAATTCACCGGGCTGCCCTACGCTGCAAAAGAACTTGACAAACGCAAGTTCATGAAAAATGGCGTGCTAGACCAGAAGGTTGAGAATGAGATGAAAATCATGCAAAAAGTCTCCCATGTGAGTAGGGTGAGCTTGCCAGTGGTAACCACGTTCTAATGAGTATAGGAAAACATTGTGCAATATATCGAACATTTCGATTGGGGCTTGCATCAATTCATCATCATCATGGAATATGTACCGCATGGTGACTTGGGGAAGCTCGTTTTAGACGGGGACATATTTTCCGAAAAGGATGCCAAGATCATCACCAGGCAGCTCACCGATGCCTTGGGCTACCTACATGACAACAAGATCACGCATCGTGATGTCAAGCCCGACAATATCCTGATCGGCTCTCGAAACCCGTACGTCGTCAAACTCACGGATTTTGGGCTCTCCAAAATGATCGATACCGAGCAAACATTTCTCAAAACGTTTTGTGGCACACTTTTGTACTGTGCGCCAGAAGTCTATTCTGAATACGGGACCTATGACGAGTTGGGCCGCAGAGTTCGTCACAGGGACAGCAGACCTGTCAATCGGGAACGTTACGATCACGCGATCGACGTCTGGTCGCTCGGTGGTGTGCTGTTTTACGCCATGACAGGATTGCCCCCATTCCCCGTGCGAAATGGAACGAGCTACACCGAGCTGCTTCACCACATTATGACACAGCCTTTGGACGTAACACCGCTGATTGAACAAGGTGTTTCAGACCCTGGGATTAGCTTCCTCCAGCGCATGATTGATAGACGACCAGAGACTCGAGCGACCATAGCAGAACTCCAGGACCATCCATGGTTGGCGATTTCCGATGCTGAATCTGCCGACGAGATCTCAGACGATGGTTTGGAACAGGGAGCGTCCCAGCTCAGCCTTTATGACAGGGAGCGGGCGCAACATGAATCCTTTGGCGATGCCGGATTGAGTGCGCTGTTGGAAGAAGATCCTGAGCCCAACAATTCCGGTATGGAACTCGGTGAGGACAAGGAAAATTACACTTTTGGTCAGCCGCCACCGGAACGGCTCTGGGGCGAAGTTAATAATTCGGCCATAGGTAGCTCGGGTGCCATTGGTGAATCTCAGCTCAATGTTTCGCTGCCTGTTGACAGCTTTGAAACAGAAATTCTGGATCAGGAGATTCATGATAGCTTCGAGTCCGACGATTTGTCGACTCCACGACAAAAGCGAAAGTCGCAAAACACTTACCGCCTTGTTCTGTCGAGCAATTCCACGGTGGATGAGAGTGCTTACAGCATCAACCAGGGTATTGGCTCACAAAGTCTTGGGGGCGCCTCCTCAATTTTGGAGAACCTCAACATGAAATCATTAGCACGCACAACACCTGGTCTCAAGTCTGAAATGAGCGACCTCAACACCAGCAAGCGCAAACCTTCTTATGACAACAGCGATGAATTTGATGGTGTGGCTTCACATATGAAGCCATCTTTTAAAAGGCTCAAGTCTGGTGGCGATAGTCTGTCCGATGAAGAGGAAGATGAATACACACTTCTCGCCAAGGTCCCGTCGGCTATGGCCAATGAGTCCATCCGCCTGATCGATAGGCCGTTGGACAAAAGAACGTTTTGGGACGCAGCAGATAAAGAGACGTGGCATCTCAACTATCCAGAAATGACACATTCGCAATACAGCGCGTTCAGGACCGCGGCCGAGGCGCGCCGAGAGGAATTTGGGGCCGGCAAGACCCCGCTTTGGGATGTGGCCATGCAGTGGTTCTCTCCGACAAACAACCAGTTTGAAACAGACGCGCTTGCACACGAGTCCCGACCCTTTCTACGCCGAGACGATCGACCTCTGAGCCAGAGCAAGGAGTGGGATTTACCACCGACCGCTCCGCCACCTGGGTCGGAGGAAGATGGCGCAATTTCACTCGCGGATACAATACCGCCGGACAGTCAAATCCCTCTCCCATTTCTCGTCACATCTCCTTCGAAAACGGTCGTCGCTAGACTCACTTCTTCACCTGGATCCCTTCTCACGGGCATTTCTCTCTCCATTACGGACCCTGTCGCCTCGTGGGGGAGAGCGTCCGAGAACACCATGGTTCACCCCAACGCGCAAGAGAGCAAAGTTCCAAAGTATGCTCTCCGGCTTGTGCTGTGGAGAGAAGGCTACACAGGGTCGTCAAACGAGTTCAGACCGTGGGAACGCGGGCGCTCAAACAGCGTTGCGCGGGCATCGTCGCCAGGTCCTGACACATACGCGTTTTATATATCGACCAAGGCTACCAACGGTTTGCGTATAAATAACGTGCCCCTGTTGTCATACGAACCAAAGAACCCTAGGTCTCCGAATAGGGACTGGGTCAAAGTATACAACGGAGACACCATCGTCTTTTGGGGACTTGACAATGTTAATAACCAGGCCAAACTCACGTTCGAGTGCTTCTGGGGTGGTTCGGCTGCCTCACGACCTGAGGACGAACTACCGATTTGCACACCTGAATCTACAGCTCGCAAGTTGGATAGCACGTGGTTCCGAGGCGAGAGGACTTTGCTTCACGAACGGACCAAGGCAGAGGCTAATCGCGAATGGCATCATCGGAACGCAAATATGAAGCTCGAATTGGAGCGCAGCAAGGCATTTGAAGTCAAGCGAGTAGAGGCGGCCAGGGTCATTGCGCTTCGCGAAAGCAGACAAAATTCGCCGATGTCTGCTCCGCCCGTCATGAGTAGAATGGTGCCACAATTCCGACAGGGCAGCCCTCCGGTCCTTCCCACGCAACACTAACCGCCCCATTTTGATTCGATGCTGAATGGTAATGAGTAGTCGTCCTGTTTTAGTTTGTTTTCTCTACATGACTGGGGGACGAGAATTGGACGAAGGGGGGGTAGAAAGGGAGTTTTTGGATGGAAGACAGGCGCATTACATTATACCATTACAATCCGCAATTTCAGCGAAAGAGGTCGGCGTTTCACGGAGGCGGGTTTCCAACTTGCCACTATCAAGGAGGCTCAAAGGAGTCATTTATGAGGGAGGCTTCTTGGTGGCGGCATATTGCTTGACATGAAAGGCATGTTGGAAGATATCAGACCGCATAATGACATGGAACTGTGAGATCTCGGTGCCATGCCCAAGCTGAAGAAAATGAAATAAAGATAAAATAGAATAGCAAGCACAATTCAGACACAAGCCAACGCGTGGTTATTTTGCCGACTTGCCGCAACGTCTGTTATCATCACAGCTAAGGGAACTCTTGAATACGAAGGTGGTGACGCAAAACCCGACGCAATGGATGGGTCTCAAACTAGACATTGCACTACTTTGATGGTTCATCGTGTAGCTGCGAAGAACGTGCCGGAGAATTAAGAAACATGCGAGACATGTCAGAATATGGTCAGATAAGTTGGTGTCACTTTTCTTTTCTTTTTCTTTTTCCGGCTTGGTTCCTCTCCTGCTAGCTATCGCTTTGCCCGAAATTCAGGATCATGATCTATCTACTGCCCACCCACATTGCGCCTGTTGCCGTTGGAGCCACAATATTGTAGACGAATAAATACGCCACCAAGAATGAAAGGCCCCGTCATACCTGCCCAATGGGTATGCCTGGGGTCGGGAGAGATGGCAGCTAGCCAGGTCTAGACGTTTGGCAGGGTGAGCAACAGGTGAGACAAGCGCAAAGACAGGTCTTATGCTTGAGCAAGATGACGGGCGAAAGGGATGAGTGCGAAGATTGAAGAGCCATTGAACGAATACACAGTTTCTAGTCTTGCGACTACGTTCTAGAGTTGATCAAGTATGGAATATGGCGCAACAAAAGAAAAGAGGATCGGCCATGCCAACTAAATGGTGCAGTCAATATGCACTGAGTACAGGGTTCTTTATTTCTTTTTCTTTTCCTTTTTTCTTCTTCTTCCTCCTCGGGATGAAAAGACTACGTAGCATTCTATATTATTTATTGCGACAAACTAGAAGCATCTAGAATAAGTCAATAGATGACTTCTAAGACAAGATAATGAGTCGCGCAAAGCAATTAGCTGAGATCATGTGCAAACACAACATGGCTTACCAAAGAAGGAGAGTCAGGCTTGAGCCGCCTCAACCTCAGGCACCATTTGTTGGGCCAGTGAAAGGCCTTTTTTTTTTTTTTTCTGTGTGTCCTTCATAAAAAGGCAAGAATGGGATCTCTGATGAAGGAAGGAGTCATCTTCGGCCAAAAGAGGAAGAAGAATAAAAGTTTATCAACAAGTGGCTGCAGGGAATGACCTCGAGCAAGCACAAGAAAACGGTCAGAGCATTCAACATTGCCTGGTGAGATAAGGTAAATGCAGACAGAGGCGCCGAGGAGACGGCAGTGCCAGCAGGCAGGTTGCTCGGAGAAAGAAGAACCCAGCTGACGGACAGCTGCAGATAGTCGAGAATCGGAAAAGGCACCCAAGGCAAGCCCCCCGCAAAGCCCCACCAATGCAAACTACTCGCCGCCGCCTGTTGTGCCATTGAACCCAGACGGTCCCACACATATGTGCAGTCGGTCCAGCAATTGACAGACCCCCCAGTCCGAGTCCCGGTCGTTTTCAATGCCATTCTTTCCCAAAACGGCGAATCCAAACACCTTGATGGCCATTTTTTGAACAGTCCACCACTCCTAGCGCGCGGGTCATCGCTGCTGCGTCTAAACACACACACACACACAACCAGAAGCAACCGGACCACTGAATGAGCCGCAATATCCAACACGATTTTGTCACTGGGGTATTTTTTTTTCTCCTCTCTCATTTGGGATTGGCAAATCGCTTTTGGGCGAGCGGGCGATTACTTGGCAGCAGGAGATTTTAGAAAAAGAAAACAAAAAGAGCAACGAAATCAGAAGCTCACTTCTTCTTGCTCTTACTTTCTGGTAGGTTGACATCAAGAAAACAAAGATACCAAGTGAGCAAAAAAAGTAGCAGTGTTGAAAACCTACCGCAAGAAACAGACCGACTGGCGCGAGGGACGAGACGAACCCGATTGGGGGGTCACGTCAGGTTTCGGTGATCTGGGTAGTGTCGAGGTGGCCATCAAGGTCCTCAAGTTACTCAGGCCTGACTACCTTTTCTCTGTGCTCAACACCTACCTACCTACCTACATGCCATTACTGGCTTGGCTGGTGCCGCAGCAACGCACACACGCACACGCACGCGCATAAGATTAGAGAGAGAGAGAGAGAGAGAGAGAGAGAGAGAGAGAGAGAGAGAGAGAGAGAGAGAGAGAGAGAGAGAGAGAGAGAGAGAGAGAGAGAGAGAGA